GCTCCTCCATTTGAGGCTGCTAGAGGGAATGTTCTCCTTTGTTTTGGTTTCCATTTGTAGAATCAAATGGGGGGTTCATTCAAGTTCATCTAGGTCAGGAGTGTCAAACTCGATTTCATTGAGGGCTGCATCAGGGTTGTGTTTGACCTTGGGCGAAGGTAAGAGGTAGGCGTGGCCAGGGTAGGTGTGGCCAGCTTGACATCATTTGTATTTGGGGGAGCCTTTGGCAGCCCAAGTGCTCTGCCAGCGAAAATGGGTTCCCAAGTTCTGCGGCAGAAGCTGGTCCCTGTTTCCAGGGCGGCCCTGTGGGCAAAATCTAATCACCCACACGGCTGCATCCAGCCTATGGCCCTTGAGTTTGACACCCTTGATCCAGTTGTTTCAAGACTGATAAAAGGGAATGTATACAGGAAAAGAAAGAGTTAAAAAATAATCCTACATTATATTAAAAGCAGATGTTTGTTGGCTGCACCTGGTTGATAAATGTTGGATGGAAATGAACATTACTATATGTACAAACAATTCTAGCACATGAATCCATTCTGTTGTTTTATTTAATTCAAGAATCATTCACACATTTAGAGCAGGCTATTTATTTCAACCTAAAGAACTTTACAGTATTATATTTTATGTGAACTCATAATTTTATTGTTGCTTGACCTCCTATATAAAGTTGGCTCATTCTTATTTATGTCACATTTTTGACTGTGCATTAATCAGATACAAACAAAAGGCATTTTGCTTCTTACATTAATAACTGGTGATTCAGATCTCTGATTCAACAAGAGCTATTCAAACTCTTTGAATAAATACTGTTTCTTTAGTTGTGACCAATTGTATTAAGAGCTCCTTAAGTACTTAAAATTTCTCTCTTTGCAAAGGTAATGCCATCCTGTAAATATCTGGTATATTATTGGTGCTGCAAATCAGTAAATCAGGATGTGTGTTGGGTGCATATATACCCATTCACCACAATGTACGTTTTTCTTTGTACAGTTTTTCTTGGGGTTTCAGAAACTGTAGGCAAAGGGTATAATCCTACTCCATATATGAATTCCAAATTTTAATTAGTGATAATGGATAAAAACAGCAGTTATACTGTACCTAACATTCAATAGGCTCTACAATTGGCCTTGCCATATTCATATTTGAAAACTGACTAAACTACATTCTTTGTTAATAAACCATCAACGTGTTCAAATTAATTTTGTGATATTTTGCTAATCATCATTATCCTAAAACTGGTGTGGATAGTCACTGAAAATGAAACTATTGGTCACCATTCCTTTCAATTTAATGTTTTCTTAAATTAACTGAAAAATCTACACCAAAATCTATTTATTTGGAAGGACATCCCGCTGACATAAAGATTTAGCCAAAATTTATGTTTTCTTCAAGTTTTAAATTCTGTTTGACTGTTTAGGGGGTTGGATTGTTTACGTTTTCCTAATCGCTAAGTTTAGAACATCTTCTGTTGTGCTCTATAAAAGTTTTACATTTGAGTGGGTACAGTTTTACCCACCTGCTAAAATACAGATGCCAGATTTGCAAAGCTGAAATTATACCACTCGGCAAATGCATTAGTCATATTTTTGTGGCAGCTAACAGATCACCCAAAGCTTTGAAGCTGGGTGTCATCCATACACAGATTAGCCCTGTAATTCATTTCATCAGATCTAATTGTAGCAGAGAATGTTTGAAATAAATGCTTTCAGTTTGTACAGAGATAATAAACTGAATGCCCTTCCCCAATACCGTTGTATAATAATTTATCAAAAGTGGGATTCCCGATAAAATCACACTATATGCTGAGGAACAAGGGCAGAAGCTGAGAAAGGGGTGCTTTCAGATCCAGCATTGCTGATGGAACTGGGGATGTTATCTGGAGCTTATATTTCTTTCAGTTTTAACTGATATTTTTTTGTATTTTTCTTATGAATCTAACCACAGATATTTAGGAAGAATATCAAATGACTTCCCTGTTAAATTCTAATCCGTGCAGAATATGAAGCCCTGATTAATGCCTGATGCAAAAAATATTATCTCTATATTGAATAATATTTTTGGCACCTCAAGTTTCTTCCAAACTAGAGATTAATGTAACATTAATACCTAAAAAGGGACAGGATTTGACTTTAACAAGAAACTACAGGCCAATATCATTATTGAACAGTGACCATAAATTGTTTACAATGATTTTAGCTAAAGGATTGAAAATAATTTTATACATGAGGATCAATGGGTTTTCTTCTTTAAAAAAACACTTGAAGATAATGTTACAACTGTGTTGGAACTTTGGAATATTTGACACATTAAAAAAAATCAAGGTGGGTTGTTTTTCATTATGTTGCAAAGAAAGCTTGTGACAATTTGAACTGGAGTTTTCTGTTTAAAATTTTGGAAGATTTGAACTTTGGAGAGAATTGTATAAAATGGAAAAAAACACTTTATATTCCACAAACTGCACAAATAATTGTTAATGGAGATTTAAATGCTACCAAAATATTAACAAAAATATGAAAATATGAGATCAAATGGAATGGGTAAATAAAATGGGTTTTAAGATTGAGAGCTTAAATATTTCAGTACCACTTTGACAAATATAAATTGTATGTTATTTGAAAATAATTATGGTAAGACATGAAAAGAAGGGAAAAAAAGATTTGGTGCTAATATATGATAAAGAACAATTGTAATTTGGGGGGATAATTTCCATTATTAAGATATTTATCTGGAATGTTATTTTTATTTCAGATATTCATTTTGATAACTGATACATCATTTAAACAAGGGGGGGAAGATATATCTAAATTTATGTAGCAGGGAAAAAACCATTAGTTAAATATAAAACATTACAAAATAAAAAGGACAGAGGATGATTGGATTACTTGATTTGAAATTGTATTTTGCGGTTTACTGTTTGATCTGGGTGAAAAGGTGGTGTTGCTGTGAAATATAAGGCTATTGGAGTTAGAAGGACATGATTTGAGCTTTGGGTAGCATGGGTATTTGTGAAATATTAAAGCTAAGGCTAATGTAGATTTTAAAAATTATTATGTTAGATGCACCATTCTGAGAATATGGAATAAATATAAATCTAGGTTGGGTCCAAAAACACTTTTTGTGGCTTTCAACAGAAGCAGCATTTTATAGCTGAGAAAGCTTATTGTAATGTATCAGAATTCTTTCAAGGGGAATGTAAAATAAAATCAAGACATAATCAGCTAATAGAAGGCAATATGCTTAATTTGTACAATTATCAGAAAGATCCAAAATGTTATATATAAATATAACTGTAGCAATATGATATGCACAAAACTGTAAGGATTTGGCACCACCCACAAAAGAGGAATTGTTGGTGTAACTGGATGGAATTAGTAGAGATGGTTAAAATGACTTCCTTGATTAGGAAAAAAAATTCTATGTTCCTTGTTGACTGGAAATCCCTTATGAATTTTTTGTATGAAACAGAAAAAAAACAACTTTTAATTTGTGGTTTTGATGATTAGAAAACATTTTATAACAGAAAAAATAGACCTTTTTTATATCCATAGAGTAAAAGGTATGTTTGTAATCATACCTGTATTTGCTGCAAAGAAAGTCAGCTTCTGGTTTTTTTAAAAAAATCTTTTGTTCTTTTGCTCTGGTTTTTCTTCTTGCTCCTTTTACTTTGTATTCATGTTTGTTAATGTTTATCTTCTTCTTAAAACTTCGTTATCTATACCCGCACATCTACATCTCATGACAAATGCTGGATAGGACAAGCTTTTGTGCATGTTATCCAGACCCATACAGTGATAATTTAGCAAATCCCATCCAATCACGAGTGCATTTTTATTTTATGTTGAACTCCAAGAAATATGATTTCCAAATATAGTGTCTAATAATACATAATGAGGGGAAGAGAAAAGCACTTGGTGATGGGTTTTTTAAAAAAAATCTCTTTGGGATTATTATTTAAAGTATTCTAGATATTTTGAAGAATCATGCACATAAAAAACATCTGCCTATCTCAGATCCTTGGGAAAGTCTTGATAGGTGGTCAGAAGTGCCAACATCTGAATATCTGGCTAGCTATGCGAAAACCATAATAATATAGCAGCAACAATAATAAAAATAATGCCTTGGTTCAAAGTGTGTTTGCCCCTCTCGAGATTTTTGGTTTCAGCTTTACAAAATTAGTAATAAACTATATCCAACAAGGGAGAGGAGTAAGAAAAACATCTTCTCCTGAATGCCTTTTTGGAAGACATGGCTGGGCTCCAGCTTGCAACATGCCAGTTTTACAAGCAATGATGCTTTAAATGTTAATCACAGACCAACTTACATATATTATCTACATCTGATCCTGTCTACTTCTGGATTATTTTGAGTGTTTCTCTAGAAAACTTATTCAAGTATTTTAGAACCTTTTAACTGAAGTCAATCAAACAATTCATGCTGATTTAGTGCCTTTCAAATGGGTCGTTTGACTCCCAGATGATTAAGAATGAAAGTGGAAAGAAAATGATCACACGGCTTCTTTTAATTATTCCTTAGATATAGCCTTTTTACAAATAAGCCTAGGGGAAATGGCTGTATTGGTGAGAGAGCTTTTTTTTTAAAGAGTTCTTTTAATTAACAGCCTTGCTCATTTATTTTGATTTCATTTTTTACCACTGAATAAATTGTATTAAAACATGGACATTGATCAGTTTCTGGATTTTTAATATAAATATCTCCAATTTGTCATATCTATTAAGGACTTACTGAGGAAGAAAGATATTTCTGTAGTTCATCCTAATGCTAAAATGTCCTTCACAGAGATTTTGGAAGGCAGCTACTCATGTCAAGGACATCTACATGACATATGATTTCATTTTATTAGGGTGATTGCGGTTTTGGGTTTTCTGCAACTTCTGCATTGTTTCTAAGGATGAAGTGATGTGTGCAAAACTTCCATAGTGCATAATAGGAGTGACTCCCGATTAGAAATACAGAGGAGTAAATTAATACTGGAGATAAAATGTTTAAAGGGGGATAGATCTCTATGATAATAAATGCTAACTAAGCAAGGAAGGTCCCACTTTCATAATCCAGACTAACTCACATTGGGTTAAACTCCTGCAGTTCTGCATCTGGAAAACTATTTTAAATCTAAACCTCTAAGAAGAGGCCTTGTGCTCTGGAAAATCAAAAAAATATATGAATTGGCACCAAGCCCAGAGAAAAAGCCAAAGTTTAAAGACTGCAGGCTTGGCCTTCTGGCCAAAATCCCGCAGAACAACAGAACGGTTATTTTAGCAGTGTCTTTAAGTGCAGCTGTGAACCAATTCAAGGACTTTAATTGATTACCATTTTCCACTTAACAATTAGTAAATCAAGTTGTACATGTGGATAAATTGCATCCTACTGAAGTGACAATATAGATCTTTCAATTAATGGAAATGTGAGATAATTGGTAACAACAAAAACATAACCTAACCAAGGCATAATGTTTACTTTTCTACATCTAACTACCAAAGGAGCTTCAATATATTATTAAACTTTAATAAGTTTATTAGCAGGTTATTAATAAGAGCAGGCTATCATATTGTCAATTAATTAGTTCATTAGTTCATAAGTTAAGTGACTCATAAAGGTTGAAAAATTAGTTTAATTTTATTTTATACACACATTGGATTAGAGATGATGGCAATACCTAAGGTGCAATGTCATTAATAGAGAAGGTAATGCTGATAATACATTTATCATTCTCCCTCCCTCCCCCCCAAGCAAGATGTAAGAAAATCTTTTTTCTTATTTTTTTCTGCTTTGCTCAGTTTTCTCAAAATAAGTCCCCAACCTCTTGAGGTGTGTTTTGTGGGTAGGCAGAAAAAGAAAATACCCCCACCCACCATGTAAATTTTCTACAGTCTGGATAACACCGAGTTTTGTTCCACTTGCTCAAACTATGATTCAACAATACAACAAATGAACAGTGAATAAAAAAAAATTATAGACCAAAAATCTTGGGACGCTTTTCTAGATCACCATTTCAACAGCTGAAACACTGATGGTATGGGTTGTCATTTCTGAACGCATGCTAAAGTTAATTGTTCCTAACATATCTTTGCAGAGATTATCCAGGGTGAATACTTCATCCGAAATGGTGGGACAGCATGGACTTCAACTTGATTTCTAATGATTATCATCTGCCAATGTTATACAACTATTTCACAAGCTACATTGGCTTCTCATAAGCTTTTGATTGTAATCAAGTTGGTAACCAGCTATAAAAACCAAATAGCACAGGTGTGGGGCTCTATGTCAGAGTGCGGGTTTCCTGTTATTTCTGTCTATCCCATTAGGTTTCACTGGGTCCCAGGTCCTTTTTTTTAAAGTTTGAAAATCTAAATGTTGCCTGTATACTGACTGAGGATGAAAGTAGGACTACAAAATCTATATTGCAAAAATCCAAAGGACTACTACATAATGACAAAATGCAGGAATTTCTACATTTGATTATTGTAATCTAGTGGCCATCCTATTCCCCCCCCCCAAGAACGGATCTAGTAGTCAAAATGAAGGCAGAGATCCATAATCAGGTACCACAGAACCTCTGATCATGACCATAATTCGTTCCGTAACTTCGGCGATTTCTTCGTCTTCTAATGTTTCATCTTCAGGAATTTCTGGGTCGGGGTCATGTTTGATTGCCACCGAGTATGTGTTCGTGACCAGATTCAAAATTTTATGAATTTTTTGGTCAGAACCAGATTTGGTCGTGGTCAGAAGCATTCATGACCAGAAGTTCTACTGTATCCACAGCTTGCAGCAGACTACCACACATTGAATTATTGCAACTCTGGTTGCAAGTTGAATAATTTTTAAAACCTACCAGGAATTATAGAACAAAAAAGAGATAGGCAAATGATAAATACTCCAACCAAAAGATCCTCAGATCAGGTCAAATTTCCAGTAACACAATGTTTAGGGGTAAACATTAGCAATTTTTATTTGTCATCAAATAAGGATAAAAATGAAAGATCTGCTTCATTTTAGGAATGTTCTATTTTAATTCTCCAACTTAAACTGTGTATTAAAAGCCAAGATACATGAACATACAGAGCTCATTTAAACCTCAAGCAGAAGAAACAGAAAGCTGAAAAGACTCACTGCATGCTCTCAGAAACCAGCAACTCGAGAACTTTTCCAAAATATTACTAACCTATTACTCTTAAGAGGGAGAGAAAAGAAAACACAAGTGACCAGAGGGCTGTAGCATAGCTCATTTTATTGTTTAAACAGTTTTGCATAGGAAATATATCTGCTTCCAGTAATTGACTGCAGTATGAGCAGCTGCTAGCAGTATAGGCTGGATATAACAGTAAATCACATTAACTCAAGCTTGATTTACACCAGTTTAAAACTTGTGGCAGCTGAGCTTTGTAACCTAATGAAAAGTACTCCAAAGAACATGTCTGTCCTGCAAATAAGCAGAGTTCTTCTCCCCAGAACCTCTTCTTACAAACCTTCTGGCCCCAAAAAGAACCTGGGGACTAGAGGTCCCGATTTTGTAAAAGTGAAAACTGCAGAGTATATATGCATCCTATGGGTAAATTTATCATTACACCAAAATTCTGCATGCGTTTAAAAACAAAGCCAAAGGAAGTACATCTAACATATTGGGGACCTCTGGCTCTGGGGAGAAGTGGAGCAGGGTAGACCATGCCAGAAGTTTTAAAATGGATCAACCCTGGTGTGTAGCTAGCAAGCAATAACTGACTACTTGTCACCTACAGTTGCACTAAATGTATCTAAAGAAACACACAGCCCTACAAAAAATTGTTCTTAGAGAATTATCATTGAGATTGGGGTGCTTCTTCCCAGTTCACTAAAGTCCTATATGATATAAGCACAAATTAACAGCTTGATGAAGACATAATCTAATGTAGCTCTTGAGAAGTCTAAGCCTGGGAAGGTGTCACCCCTCACATTCTACAATGTTGTAGTTTTCTATTTTTAATTTTTTTTGAAGTAAATGTTATCTGAAACATATTTACAACTGAACTCAACAGAGACTGTGAAACTGAACAGGCACTGGTCATTTTTTTAAAATTTCTCTCACTTTTTTTTCTTTTTGGTAAACATTTTTTGCTGGTTTTTTTTTTGTCTCTTTCTCTCTCTCATTTTGCATCAACTTCTCACGAGTCCATGCAACTTCAATGCCCTCTATGAAGAATGCATAATAAGCCATACTTCTTTTTTTATTTTTAAAAAAGTCCTTCTGCATATAGATACACATTTTGCCACATCAGTCCCTGTAGCACAGTTTTCAAACCATTCTGTCAAAAATACAGTAATACAAAGACTGGATTCAGTGGCACTGGCTCTCGCTGTTTTTCCGTTGCTTTTTGCTTGCCGCGTTTGTTTCGGGTCTTCCCGGAAAGATTTTGAGCACTAAACGCAACGGAGGCCTGAATGAGCACGGGGGGTGGCGAGTGCCACTGAAGCCCCTTTCACAAAGTCAACATACATTTTAATTGCAACACACAGATAATCCTAAGGAGTAATAACTAGTGAACCCTTTTATTATATATATATAAAAAAACTACTTACAACCATTGAGGGAAAAAAATTGCAACAAAAATGTATAAATTGACCGTCTCCTGCTTTGTCCCCTTTGCTATTAACAAATGTGACCAATAGAGCTGTGGCATGGAAACAGTACAAGAGTTGTCATGGCAATAGGTTTGGCTGATGCAAGGGTCATTGTGCTGGGTCAAAGGGCAAACCCAGTGGTCCGTGTTATCCTCTGACTGTGGGGCTCCAACACACCCACAACATTTTGAGGAGATAGAAAAAAACAGGGGAACTCTCAGAAAGTGCAAATATGAAGGAGGCAGGTTTCAGCTCCTTCCGCATGGAGTAGGACATTCAATTTTGAGCTTTTTCTGTTCAACATGATTCGCCTGCATTGTTTTTTGTTTAGCATCTCTTATAGAAACCCAATAAAAAAATAAAAGCCTAGGAAGCATGCAGCTGGCAAATGTTAACAAAAGACCTTGGCAGGAACATGTAAACTAGAATCAATGTCATGCTGGAGGCATTAATGCCAGCACGGGTGTAGACATTTTTTTTTCCTTTTCTCAAGGGTGAATACTGTACATCAAATGTGGGATTCAGACTTCAATCTCACATAGTATACAAAATTTAGAATGACTTAGATACAGGACACGCACTGTTGACAAAGCTTGGTATATCCTTGTGCAATCTCATTCAGTAAGTCCTTACGAAGCTCCTAATTGCAAATCCAAATTTTTGCTCCCTGAGGACACTGCTATATGAGACATAAGTACTGTTTTCATTTTTCTTTCACTGAAATTCTCTCCTGGATGCTCTGTGAACCTGCTCTTAAATACCATCATGTAACAATCACAACATTTTTTGCTAAAGGCCATATATACTAATAAAAAAAGACAGTGGTGCTTCCAACATTCTGAAATGCTCCCAAAACCCAACTTTCCAATACTAAATACAACAAAATAACCTTCATAAAATATAACTTTTCTCCATTTACAATTTCTTTTAAAAGGATCAGTACACCTATGCTTTTCAAGCATAGTGAAATATCTCATAACACGGACAGATTTTTTTTTGTTTGTTTTAATACATAAATTAAGAAACTGGAGAGTTTTAACCCAAGTCCAGTTTCCAAACAAGGAAGATTCTTGTTTACGTTAGAAGTGGAAATGACATACATTTCCATTATAATTGCTAAAAATTAGCTTTACAAACGAGGGTGCTTTAAAAAAAATCTTAACAAAACTATACAGTGTACAAATTACTGTCTACACGCTAGGTGGGTCCATTAAGAAGATCCTCTGTTCTTCTCTTCATTGCAGCTTCACAGGTTCATTCACATATTATAAATGGAGCTGCCCACCTGAACACACAACTATATTGCTATATTTAATATTTTGCCATGTCTATGTACAGTCTCCTTCACTGCCTTTTTTTCCTTAGTCGAGCCTCAACTGTTCACGTCATTCTAGGGGGAAAAACACTTCAGTGTGACACTGCCAAGAGGCAAAGGCTGCAAAGCAATTGAAAAAGGCAGAACAGTGCACATAGAACGGGGTGACTTGATTTTGTCAGAATATACTTCCTGATCAAGGAGGGGGATTAGATTAGATTTAGAGGGTGTGTAACACTTCGTTCTGCACTGGAATTCTCAGCTCTGAGAGAAGTGTAGAAGATGTGGATATGACAGATCTTTCGATTAGAGAGGCAGAAAAAACCTACAGAGAGCATTATCCTGAAATTTTGTCAGAATTATGGCCCAAAGAACCAAGTAATTCAATGTCAAGAAAGGGGATCCAAAATAGCAAGGTAGCCTTTTATAAATATTTTCCTTTTATTAAAAAAAATACATCCATTTGATTGATGTATTCATAAGGTCAGGATTATGATGACATTGAATTGCTAATGTTCTCTGTCATCCATTATACCAGGGGTGTCAAACTCGTGGCTCGCGGGCCAAATGTGTCATGCGCTGGCCACTCCCACCCCCAGTTTAGCAAAGGGGGTGGGAAAGTTGTGATATTTCACGTTGACGATGTGTCATTGCGAGTTTGACACCCCTGCATTATACTATTGCACTTTAAAATCTGAATTCAGCTTGGTTTCAGTATTTCCAATGAAATAAATTATTTCTGGATTGTGGCTGCTGCACTCCTGCCATTTTTAATGAAACTGTCCCTCATTAAGGGACAAACTAAAAGAACATGCCCACCAACTCTCAATGTTTGTATATACATTTCTGTTTTTCCTAACGGCCATATATTTAGTGAATTAATTCACTTACAAAGGGGCTCAGAAAAAGAGCCAACATATAGTTGGTTTTATTCTTACTTTAGCTATAAATACAAACCTTACCAACAATCCTACAGTTTTACAACTGCCCTTAGACTTTACAAAATCAACTTTCTCAAAAAGGCATTTATTGGTGCAGATCAAATCTGAAAGAGAATCTGATTCTCTTTCAGCATCAATAATTGTCAGCACTATTTTAAAGGAGGCTGCAATTAAAATACAACTAATTCAGTGGCATTGCAGGTGGAAATTGATTGACATATTGCACCTAGCACCAAAGGCCATGGCCAAAACAGGAGATCAGGATTATTTTTATTATTTATTTTATGGCAACCCTAAACATTGCTTATTTCTAGTTGAGAGAAACATTTTGAAATACTGCTCTGAAAAAAGTGAAAGTTCCCATGAATTTGGACAGTGTACCTAGTAGTAGTTCCTCTGGCTCTAATGGCAATATTTTGGGTTACTCTTCTTCAAAATAATTTTATTTTACTTTTTATATTGCTACACTTATTGGAAGGGAAATTGTACTCTTTTAATTTTCACCCATTTTGTATAGGTGCTTGAAAAGGGCAGATTAGAAACTGTTTAAAATGTTTCTTTATAAGGTTATAAAAGTGAACGGACTGTCTATCAATTTATGTTTGCTGAAACTAAAGGAAAATAAAAATGTGTTAGTAAACACACAAACTGAATATTTCCTTGGGTTTTATTTTGTATTTCAGTAGACTCCAAGGACAAAATACCTACATCTATGCCAGTTATGAATACTAACATTAGATATGTAGTTACATTCATTTCTATCCTGGAGACAATATGGGATTATGTTGGTTGGTTGATTTTCTTTCACTGCTGGTGCAAAATACAACTGATGGGCATTCTCTCAACACCATGTCTGCATAAAGCGTTATTTTAAAAAAAAAATGATTGTAAGGCTAAATCATTTTCATTTTTACCCAATCTAAGTTTTACAACTAGTTATGTAGAAAAGAGCTAGTCTTTGTGAGAACATAAAAATAAGACTGACTACTCTTGCATTCTTGTCACTACTAGAAATAGTGTGGAGATTAATAATTTCACAGTGGTAGTTTTGTGCAAGGGGCTCTGATCCCATAGAAGAAAACCATCAGAAACCATAATTAAGCCATCAGAGTTGATAGTTTTCTATATCACCAATTTTAGTATCTAATCAGGTTGTGCACAAACACATTGTATGTGTGCATTTTTGTGCTTGGCGATTTGTACTGAAATATAGTAGCATTGATGCTGGGGAATGCTGAAAAGGAAATCAGAATCTCGTGTAAAAGGACAAAGGAGAAGATATCATGGAATTCCCACTGGAAATGCCTCCACTCACAGAAAACAAATACTGAATCCAATTTAATACTTAATATACAGTTAGCATCTTTAGATGATCTTTTGTCTCATAGCATGTACAGTTTTGGCAGTATATGCTATGTGATTTTTAAAATCTCAAACTAGGCTTTTATATGACGGATGTATAACTTGCAAAATTTTACAGGGTTTTTGATCTCTGTGGGTCTTGAGACTTTCTTTTTTTAAAAAAAGTAGATTTTTTTTTTCTCAAATCAGGTCTGCCTCAGATAAAATCCATTATTATTTATTTTTCATTATCACTATGCCTGTTTTCAAACCAGAAATGATTTCAGCTTGCACCCCAGGTGGAAAGTTTAAAAGAAAACACCATTTTTTTTGTTTTTAAATCACAGTAGGAAGAAGAGTTGCTTTGTAGCCTTCACCCAGCCTTCACAGCTACACTGTCAAGTGTTAAAAATCATCCCCACCCATCCCAGAATATATAGATATATGTACGTAGTTTAAAAAAAAAATCCCCTGTCCATCTCTTAGTACACAAAAAGGACCTCATCACACTGCAAAAATAGCAGTACCCACTTTGGTCAATTAAAACAAACAAACAAACAAACAAACAAAAAAGCATACATTAATCTTTTGTCTTTTAAATCTGTGTACTTACCTATAATAACCAATACAGCTAAAAGCACTACCTACATAGGCAAAACTTGGTATTGCATAAGTTGTATAAATTTGAATCCCCTCCCCCCAATATTAATTGGAAGATGAAAAAACATGAAAGATTAATAGAAAAAACACCAAAATACTGAAAATATTGCTGGTCGATTACAATTTTTAAGCGGCAACTATACACAGCCATGATATGCTTTATAAATGTGAGATAAAGTTATAACTGCTTAAAAAATCCATGATGTCACTTTTGTTGTTGTTGTTTTCCCATCTGGAGTACAAAATATTTTGTCATAAAAATGGTACAGATTTAAAATGATAATAAATGCAGCAAAACAAGTGTAGTGATGTCACTTTTTAGATTTCAAGGCAAGGCACGTTATGTGGACATTATAACTTCGTGCAAATTAGGATTACTGGATAGAGTAGTTTTAATTATTCTTTTATAGAGACGTAGAGGCAAAACGTATCCGCCCATGCACAATATTGTGTATATGAGAAATCTGTCAAACAAGGCTAATTTCTGAGAGCACCATGCAAGTTTTCAGCACCCTGTCATTAGTCTTTTTAAAGAGTGCATTTTTAAAAAATATATTTCATCCCCTTCCCATAACCCATCATTCCCATTTGTAAACCAGAAGCTAAGCCCCTGTGACATGGATTTACCTCTCTCAGTCTCTGTCATGAAGGTTCTAGAGAACCTTTTCCATTATTTATGGGTTCTTGATCCAACCAGTAACTTTAAATAAATAAGATACCTCAAAGGAGGCAGAAGCTAAATCAACGTTAAGTGCTGTGTTTCAATTAATTTCCTTTTCTCAAGTAAATGATTTGTCTTGATTTAGTTAATGCCTTTTAATGACCCCTCCCTTTCAAAAGTGGGGGGGAAATACATTTGTTCGAAATACTTTTGAAACTTATCTTGTCTTTTAATCCCCTCAATTTAGAGTCCAAGGGCTAAAGGACTTATAACAATTATCCCCTTTAGATACAGGTTTTAAATTGCACTTGCCTCTAATGTTTTCATTAGCATGGGGAATTATTTTAGTGTCTTTCTCAGGTTTTTTAAACTGTCATTTGAGAAGATAACACTTTCTTTTACCCAAAGTAAGGCATTGATTTTATAGAATGCCTGCTTATTTAAATGACTTTTGAAAAATTTAAACTGGATAACACACTAAGAAAAGACTGGGTTAAGGACCTAAGTTAAATAAATTGGGGTGGACAACTAAAAGCTGAATTTGTTTCTTTTTCTTTGAAAAATCTTTTAGAAACCAGACTGCTGAGGAAAAAAAATGGCTTCCGGCCTTCCTTCTCCTGCAGTTCTGTGGATGCCTCCTAGCCTTTGTTTTGAGAGCTAACTAGGAATAGTGATCCCATGCGTATTGCGTAAACAACAAGAATACTAAACCAATAAACTAGCTTATCATGCAAATATTAAGGCATCTAGAAAGTCAGTTAAAATATATTGTCAGAGACAGAACATCTATTTCCCAGTGGATTTCATAGAACAAAGGCTACTCAGGAGGAGCATCTTTCTACGCATCAGTGAAATATCATCGATCCTCTCCCCCAATCCCGCTTTTTGTGGTTGCTCTTGCTTTGCCATTACAGTTTCAATCTTAAGGGAATTAATGATTGTAAGTGCTGCAATTGCTGGTTTATGTTTCTTCTTTCTTCAGTTTCTTCTTTGCTTTTTGTCCCATCTTCCTTTCTTTTATAGTATTTGTTCAGTTTCAATCTCCCTCAGTTGCTTGTTTCTGCTTGAAGAAAAGGCTCTCCAATTATGTTCAAACCATAATTTTGGACATTTGTGGGCAGAATTGATGTCCTGTTTGATACTTGAAAGGGGACCAAGCTAGCCCAGGTACCAGGACTGTTAAAGGAAAAGAAAAAAGAAAACAGAAAAACATTTAAAATGTTGAAATAGCAACACCTTTGAATGAACATCTGAAAGCCACCTGACTTTGAACAATTCTAACAGCACATTTTAACCTCAAAGTGGAAGTAGAATATTACACAGTGACTGATTGTTCTGTCAATTTAATCCTAAAACTAGCTGTGGCAAATGAGTAAATGCTTAGTATAGGCTGCTTTCTGCCATTTAACACAACTGTTGATGCTTGCAGAGTAGAATATTGTTCCTATCAGCACAAGCTTCCCTTAATAACAGCATTCACGTTAAATATGCAAGTATAGAGAAACAATGCTTTTTATTCCCTCCCCCGTTTTAATATGGGGAGACTATTCAATGAAAATGAATTTTAGTCAGTAATAAACAGGATTCTTGTTGCAACATAACTTGACAACTTTAACATTTGCCTATTTCAAACTGCCCACCATATTGTAATTATGTTAAAAAGGACTACACAAAGTATTTATCAGTATTATTTATGAATCTTTGGAGAATGGTACAAGTCTCGTAAGTTATTGTCATGTAAATCCACAAGATTTTTACAAGCCTCTGACTAGCTGTATATTGATTAGGTTAAAAAATACACCACATTGGCCTTTGTTATAATTAGATTTACACACTTATAGAGGAAATAAAATTGCTTTAAAATGTAAAACAGTAGTTCTTGAGAAAGATAAATATTTAGATTAAATGAACTGGTAGAGTGAGATTCATGTTCTGCAGTACATTTTTTATGAAATTACTTCTTGTGGTTGTTGCATCTATATGCATATAACATTTACCATATAGATGCAACATAAGGTTCCCTCCACCAAGTGATCCACACGTATTCTGCTAATTGTAAATCTTATGATTACTACAGCCTGCCATGGCTAAATATTTCTTGGCCATTGATGAAAGTGAAAAGACCTACATAAACACTGTGTTGTTTTCTGCAGGATTTGATTACATGCAGGAGTAACAGAAGCCCAAAGAATGGCTTAAATTAGTTGTTTTAAGACATTTTTTAAATTATCTCATTTTACCTGAGGAGTTCTTTTTATTAGTACTTGTGGCAAATGTAATGTAAAGCAGACTTAAAATATTTCTGGTCTACAAGTCTTACAGAAACCAGGCAACACCATTTAATCCTATTTTCAGAATTAATGCCCAATTTAGAAGGCCATACAGACCAACTTAACAGAGCATGCACTTGTATTTTTTTCAGGTCAAATAAATCTTTTGATATTTTTTTACTACTGTTATAATAATAAATATTAACAATTTTGTGAAAACATGTCAAAATGTTTATTAAGTAACTGAAAGAATGTTATCTATAAAGTTATTGAGGAAAATTATTGACTGCTATTGTTTAACTTCTTTTCAGTCACTTAATAAATGATGCTAGTCAAAAGTCATAGATACCTGGATCAAAATTAGGCCTTTTATAAAACGGACAGATTATAATCAAGATATATTGTAGCTGCTATTATTTTGTATTTTTAATTCTAATAGATCTTGAAATTTGTCCATCATCTTTACCTTTTTAATTTAGTGACATATATTTACATATTTTCCCATTATGTTAATGCATAATAACATTAGGCAAAGCAGAAGTTAAAAGAGAAACATTTTATAGCACATTCTCTGATTGTTATAAGTCACTAAGAATTGTTGAAAGTCAAGTGGCGCACATGTTTTAAAACAACAATAAGTCAGCCACCAATGAAGCACTACCATGACACAGTTGTAGGTTTGCTTGGTCTGAAAAAGATGAGAGCTGTGTCAGAGGTATGACCACAATGGACGGGTCTCATTGGACAAGTCAGACGGAGACAATGTCTCCCATAAATAATGTGGTACGATGTAATTTATAGAAACCTATAGAAGATTGGTCAACGCCTGGATCAACACGGACTATATACTAGATTTTGGGGGTCCTGTATGTCTGATGACAAGTGGACTACAGGATTCAGAGCACTGCTTAAGCAAATAGAGCCAACAGCTCCTGGACTACTAGAAGAATAGCAGTCTTCCAATATTTGAGGGGCTGCCACAGGGAGGAAGGGGTCAAGCTATTTTCTAAAGCACCTGTAGGCCAGACAAGGAATAATGGATGGAAACTGAACAAGGAGAGATTTAACCTGGAAATAAGGAGAAACTTTCTGACAGTGAGAACAATCAACCAATGGAATAGCTTGCCCTCGGAAGTTGTGGGAGCACCATCGCTTGAGACTTTCAAGAAGAGATTGGACTGCTATTTGTCAGAAATGGTGTAGGGTTTCTTGCTTGGGCGGGGGTTGGACTAGATGACCCACAAGGTCCCTTCCAACTCTGATTATCTGTTATCTGTTAAGAAAAACTGCATTGTTTGTTCAAAATATACAAAGACTTGATAAGGTCCAAAGAGAAAAGGAGATCGGAAAATAATGTACCCATTCTGGAAAGAGTAACATTCAGAATCAGAAGTAAGAGAACAGAGGAGATAGCAGATTAATGTAGATCTGTCCTCAGCAGAGAAAGCCAGCATTGCTATTGAGCCATTCTCATTCCCATAGAGATCATCTACTCTCTCCTCAGAAAGAACAAAGTCCCCTATCTGAAAAAAGCAGAACTGACCCCATGGAATACACAAAAATGACAGAATAAATTTGCCTGCTTTGAAGCTTGTCACAAAAAAACCCCTTAATAGTAGCACAAATATTAAAAGATGCCAAATACTGAAATATTGAATATAAGCACCAGCTCACTGCAAGAAATATACCAACTGATGTACAGCACAGTTGCAGTTATAACTGAAGGCTTAGATGTAAAATCAACAAACAAGAAAAAAAAGTAAAATAACCCATTTTCAACTTGGAAGGTCAGATTTTAAAATAAGATCAGCAGGCTAGGATCAGATGCAATCAAATTAGAACAGAGGAAAGAAAAGAACTTGAAGAACAAGAATATCAAAGAATACCTGTTGATAAAATATCACCTAGAGATAAGGAAAACCAAAGCAGCACTGAAAATAATAAAGCAGAAAATAACAGCCACAGCCAAAAAAATCAGTTGATACTAAGCTTCATCTGTACACTAAAGATAGAAATTCAGTCGAATCAGAAATGTTTCTACCAATCCATCAATGGAGAGACTGCAATGAAACAGCCAAACACCTGACAAAGAAACAATATAGTTCTGGGCACAGCTATCTAACAATCAAATAAGAATGCAGCTTGGATAAAAGAGGCAAAAAAGAGAGGAAAAAATAAAGTTGAAATGAAAAAAATTGTAATAACATCAGAATTGGTGGAGAACAAATGATTCAAAGTAGTTGTGTTTGGTAATGAAAATTGAGTGAATGAATGAAAATTATATGTAAAGGGCAAAAATTAAAGCAAGCCAATGAATTAGTGTATTTTGGTAGAATGTTGACTAAAGTTGGACAAAAAGATTGTAGAATGCATTCATTTGTATGAATGACTAATCAAAGAAGCAAAAATAGTTGCATATAGGAGCATGTTTCTGTCTACTTTATTTAGTATTTGTTTGTATCCCACCTTTATTATTTTTACAAATAACTCAAGGTGGTGAACTTATCCAACACACCTTCCTTCTCCTGTTTTCCCCACAACACCAACCCTGTGAGGTGGCTTTGCCTGAGAGAGAGTAACTACCCAAAGTCACCCAGCTGGCTTTCATGGCTAAGACATAGTTTAGAAATATGTTTGGTAAAACAACAAAAGAAAAGGTCAAGGGTAAATGATGGAAGAAGGAATGTGGACAATATACAGAATAGGATTAGTACCATAAGGCATGCTTAGATGATTCTGTCTTATAGAGGAAAGGATTGAATTGTAAAATAAAAATATTGTTATTGTTATTGGTTGCACAGTCAGCTAGATATTTAGACTGTACATGGCATTTTTGTCTAGCTATTGAATTTTTCCCAAGGACCTGCAGTTGCCTGGGGCTGCCCTTTTGGTTAGATCTTTCATTTTCAGATAGATTTTGCCACATGTTAACCAATCTTCCATTTCAGTTCCTTGCAATATGTTGTGAAACTGCTTGGCAATGAATGAATGCAGATAACTCAATTGTTTCAAGCCAAAATCATGTAATTCGTCTTCACCTGGTGCTAACCAATTCTTGATCTTTCTTTTTTCAGAATTGTACTTTTCATCATACAATCTAATATTAGTTGCAAACAATGTTCATTCATCAATAAAAGTCCGAAGGCACTCGGTGTTCTCAAAACACTTCTGCCAAAACCAGTTAATTTTTTTACACATTTATTCATACTTTTATTACACAATCAAGAGAATACTCTACACATACTTCTTTTATTCCCTGCATAATGTTGAACCGTTTGCCAAGCATTTAACTCTTTTCATATCACATATTATTCACTTCTTTCACATACTATTTACTTCACATTCAGCACTTTAAACCACATTCTTGCAAAATTCAAACCTATTTGTTTTATTATACACTTTTACTGTGTCAGTCTATATACAGTAAACTTTCTCACAGATATAAATTGTCAATGAAGCAATAAAGAAAAAAATTCTGGTCTGCCACAAGTTTCACCATTCATCTTCCCATGAATACTTAAGGAAATAACTCCATGTACTTCTTGCATTCACACTTGCTATTACTACTTTCTCCTCTGTGAAGGAAATCAACTGCATTCTCCAATCCTCAGGCAAAGATGCATTCTTTATACACATATTAAATAAATCACAGTGACTCCATTAGCAAACCATAATTGTATTTTAACATTTTTTGAAATTTGTCAGTATTTATGATTTACTTTCCAACCTTTTTTATTCAATATTAACATAATATTCATTTCAATTCTCTTTTTCGAAATGCCCTTTTACTTTTCAACATTTTTTCACTACTATCCATTTCAATTCTGCTTTTTGAAATATTTTTACCATTCCCATAGAAACCTCTAAAATATTCCTTCCCACATTCTTTCATTTCAATTCATCACA